CAGGTCTTGAGGGATCTCCGTTGGTGTGATGGGTCTGGAATTCAGATCTGACCATAGGACTCCACTGCTCAGGTCCTGCAGGGCTCCCTTTGCCTCAAGATGACTCCCAAACCCTTAGCCGGATGTTCAAGCCCTTTGTGATGGCCCTGCTGAGGGCTTCCTCCTTCCTGTCCTCCTCGATCCGATGTGGGCCCAGGTCCTCCCGATTCCTTCCAGTCTCTCTCCTGGTGCCCCCTGCCTCCTGGCCTTGGCTCACACTGCTCCCTCTGCATGGCGCCCACCTCTGGCCCTTCTCCCCACCCCTATGCCCACCTGGCTACTGCTGCCCATCTGAGACCCTGGTTGGCCAGAGACGACACCTGAGCGAGCTGCCCTTCCATGTGTGTGTTCTCCGTGGCTTCACCTCCTGGAGCATTTCTTTTGCTTTTTGTCATGTGTTCACTGGACTGTACTTCCTATGGCCTGGAGCTCCTTGAGGGTTTGTCTCTATCCACCACCTACTGGGTGCGCCAAGGTTTGTTCAAGAAGGGATGGAAAAAAGCAGGAGAGGGAAGAGCAAAGTGTAGAATCTTAAGCTGCCCGGTTAGAAGTTGACATTTTACCCAGTGACCCTGTGGCTGCATTAGATACAGCAGTATGATAGGTGGAAGTGAGTATGAAGATAGAGTATTGGCCTTAGTAATTGGCTCAGATTATACTAGAATGAAGAGGATATCCATTAATCCTTGGAGGCATATGAAAACTTTTTTGAGTGGTAATCCTAAGGAAAAAACATTTTTAAATATTTTTGTACATTTTAATCAGAGAACCTGGTCACATTGGTTCTGGGGTTATTTCCCCTTAAAATAATCAAAATAAGTTCTTTATTAAACATTCTGCTTCAGGTACCTGCTAATTTTGAAGATAACCAGCAAAATCATGGTTTAGCCATGCTTGGTGGCTTTAAAATTATGGTGTGTCAGTTGCAATTGGACTTAGATGTTTTCACTGTCGTTTTTACAGCTGTAAAAATAAGTGGCTGTCTGAATCTCCAGGAATAATTTAAAGTTATGACTAGTAATTATGTTGTTACAGTATGAGAAGCCAAGTTCTAGGGTATAAATTTGTATCACGGAAATGAGCACAGTGTCACCGGCTTCTCACGGTCTCCTGTGTCTGATCGGCTGGCCTCGCGCCAGCAGGAGCCCACACTCACCTTTAGGTTTTCCTGGTGCAGTTGCACGTGTGCCCCTCTGAGGGTTGAGTCCAGGAGGGAGGGGTGTATCCAGTGAGGGTGTCACCAACTTTGTTCTTTTCCAAACTCTTTTTGCTATTCTAGGCCTTTGAATAGACGTTTACATATTTTAATCGGCTTCTTTTTAAAAAAAAATTTTTTTTTCAACCACAGTTTATAGTCATACCATTCTGCACCAGTTTCAGATGTACAGCAAAGTGGCTGAAAAACCATGCACTCTACAGAGTGGTCCCCCCACTGCTCAAGTCCCCTCCTGGCCCCACACCCAGTTATCTCAATATTATTGACTCTATTCTCCATTCTGCAATCCGCATCCCTGTGACTATTCTGCAACTACCAATTTGTACTGCTTTTTTACCCAGCCCCTACCCCCACTCCCGCCCCCCGACAGCTGGCAGTCTGTTCTTTATGAGTCTATTTCTATCTTGTTTCTTTGTTTATTTTGTTCATTAGATTTCCCCATATAAGTGAAATCATATGGTATTTGTTTTTCTCTGAGTGGCTTATTTCACTTAGCATAATACCCTCTAGGCCAGGGGTCCTCAAACTACGGCCCGCGGGCCACATGCAAATGCAAATATTGTATTTGTTCCCCTTTTGTTTTTTTACTTCAAAATAAGATATGTGCAGTGTCCATAGGAATTTGTTCATAGTTTTTTTTAAACTATAGTCCGGCCCTCCAATGGTCTGAGGGACAGTGAACTGACCCCCTGTTTAAAAAGTTTGAGGACCCCTGCTCTAGGCCCATACATGCTGTATCAAAAGGTAAGATTTCCTTCTCTTTTACAGTTGTAAATGTACCACAGCTTTTTTATCCTCTCATCTACTGATGAACACTTGGATTGCTCCCATATCTTGACTATTGTAAATAATGCTGCATTGAACATAGGGTGCATTTATTCTTTCAAATTAGTGTTTCGGGTTTCTTCGGATATATTCCCAGAAGTGAAATCACTTGGCATTGAGGCAGTTCCATTTTTAATTTTTTGAGGAACCTCCACATTGTTTTCCATAGTGGTTGCACCAATCTGCGTTCCCACCAACAGTGTTCGAGGGTTCCTTTCCTCAATATCCCTGCCAACACTTGTTGTTTGTTGATTTATTGATGATAGCCATTCTGACAGGTGTGATATCTCATTTTGGTTTTGATTTCTTCGGTGTTTTATTAACTTAATTTCCTAAATGACTGAGATTGCTTTTATCTCTGGGTTAATTTGCAGAGAATTAACATCTTAACAAAATTTTAGTTTTCAGGTGCTCCGACATGGCATATCTTTCTATATACTTGGGCTTTCTTTAATTTCTTTCATCAGTGTTTGCAATGTGTTTTCAGCATACACATCTTGCAAACATTGCATGCGCACACGCGCGCGCGCGCACACACACACACACATTTATTTATTTATCCTTATATATTTTGTTTTTGATGGAGTAGACAAAGTTTTTTTTCTGGTAGTATACTAAAATCACAAGCCATAAAAAGATCATTTTGTGAAAGATACTGTTGTTTTTAAATTTTCAGTTTTTATTGTCATTGCTTCTATGCATAAACACAATTGCTTTTTATGCATTGACTTTGTATTCTGCGGTCTTACTAAACACAGCTATTCTACTAGCTTGTCTTGTAGATTTTCCTATAGAGTCTGTGAATAAAGACTTTTATTTCTTCCTTTCCAGTCTCCACGCCCTTGTTTCTTTCTCTTGCTTTCATGCACTGGCTAGGATACCAGGTTGACCAGGAGAGATGAGAACAAACTTCTCTTCCGCTGGCTCCATCTCGGGGAATGTTGGGCTGTGCCTCATTGAGTCTGCTCTTAGTCGGCTTTCCTGCAGGTTTCACCCCGTGATTCGCCTTCCCCCAGGTGCTCTTCCACCTCTGTACCTGGTTTCCCACATCACTTGCCCTCTGCTGAACTACCTGGTATGCTCTGCCTTCAGGTACAGCACCCACAGAGGAAATCATACACGGGATTTTAGTGGTGAAAGGCAGGTAGCACCGCTCTGTCTAAATGAGAAAGTGAGGCCCAGAGTGGTTTAGTGAACTGTTACTGTCACTCTGATAGATTGGGACAGGTCTGCGGATTAAGGCATTTAAGTCGACAGTATGGCTGTGGATCAGGTGTTCTCTCAGAACAGCACTTAGAAACACTAATACACATGTTTTAAAAAGTACATGTTTATAGAGTCTTGACTGTGACTGAGCTCTTGGAGGACAGACTGGAAGCTGGCAACCAAGGTGACCCTTGAGTCAGGAGCTGGGTAGCAGGGGGAAGAGGAAGGTATTCTTGGCTGTATTTTATATGTATTTTAATGTTTCATGTTTTGTACTATGTTCCTGTATTGCCAACTTAATATTACATTAAGTACTTCCAGAAGTAGAGTAATGATGTGTAAGTTGTAGGACTCATATAAGCATTAGATACATGACTCCTCCTTATGACAGTTAAAGCTCAAAAGCATTGCAGTTGCGTAACATTTCAAACTTCAAATGTAACCCTCTTACCCAGCTGAACTAATCATGGAGTCGGAATATTTTTAAATTTTTTTTCAATGAAATATGTTGCCCAACTCAGTTCCAAGAAATATTCCGTTTCATGTGGCTTTATTCTTGCAAAACTCAGAGACATATTCCCATGGGGGAGAAGAGTTTTATTGGAGCCAAGCAGAGAGGAAGGAGTCTTCTCTTGGGGGCTGTTCTTCCTAGTGACCGGGTGTGCGGGAGGGCAGACGGCCAGAGGTGGCAGGACCCACTGCCAGGACCTCAGCAGGACACCCACCAAGTGGATTAGTGATGGCAGGGGAGGACCGAGGTTAGGGAGGGGCCTGCGAGGAGCCCCGAGGGCGCCATTCTGTCCTTGTAATGTGATGCTTGCTGGAGGATGTTCCATGGGGCCTATAATTTGGGTCTTTCTGAATTTCTGTGGAATATACTTTTTTGTCAGCCTGTGTCTTCTGTGTGTTTCCTGCATCTGTCGCTCTTCCTCTCCCACCTGCGGACTTTGTGTGCAGTGGCTTAAGCTGTTACGTAGTGTGTGGCTGGACAGGATTCGGCTCCAGATGGCTCTGCCCGGTCAGAGCTGGACCAGTGAGGTTGGACGTGGGCAATGGTGCTGACCCTTGGAGTGCTCACATGCTGGGTCACTTCGCAGGTGGGCTGGTTGTGTGGAATTAACTGGCCTGGACCCGAGGAGCCCTGGCTGAATGATTCCGGGGTCTTTCCCAAGTCTCTTTTGCGTGTGGGGAGTGTGAGGCAGTTACCTTTCTTTTTAGAACATGACGGACAGATGGCACAATGACGGGCAGATTGAGATTGAAGGCAGGTTATTGGTGGGAGTGAATTGTCCCGACTCTCTGGGCGCCTTCACCCTCTGGACCTGCTTTCTCATGTTTGTTTTGCCTTTCAAATGCCCCATCTGTGCTGGTGGGTGAGCCTCTGGGGTCTGGAGTCCAGAGCAGAGTTCATACAAGGCGGCCCTGTCCACACCCAGGCTGTGCTCCCAGTGTGAGAGCAGGCAGACCTGTGACCCCCGTGGAAGTGACATGTGATGCTTGTTCTGCTCTTGGGGTGGGGCGCGGGCACCTTCAAGATGAAATGTCGCGTACGCTGATCTTACATAAAGGAAGACAGCGTGGCATTACCCATGTACCCGATGATTTGTTTTGGATTATAACGTTCGAAATAATTGGCAGTAACTTACAAACCTTGCTGGGCCTGGAGGATTTGTCCTCTCCTGTGACCGCTTTCCCTCTGCTCTGTCTGTTTTAGGGAAGGTGGCCATTCAGAAGGAAGACTTGCAGAAGTACCATAACAGGGACACCTGGTTCCAGCTGCAGCATGTTGACGCTGACTCAGAAGTTCAGGTGAGACCTTCGGCGGAGCCCGTGGAACGCTGGAGGTCTTGGGGAATGGAAGACTTGATTGTGGTTAAAGGACTAGAGACATGGTTGTGGTCCTAACAGGGAATAATGTTTAGCAAATCGTGTCCTTCTATTTATAGTAAGTATAGGCTTGCTAATTTTGTTTGTTCTGTTGGTGATTGTCACACTTTGTCATGCATGATTGGAGCACCTTTAAAAAAAACAAATGTGAAAGAGCAATAACATAATGAAGGTGAAGAGAAAATATGGGTAAGAAAAATGAAGCTGTAGGTGAGAACAGCACACAGAGCCTCCCATGGCAAGTCCCTGTGCTTGTTGGAGGTCACTGCATGTGTTGTGAAGCTCCCTGCACTCAGCAAAGAAGCATCTAGAGCGAAAAGAAGTGGCCACTCTGAACAGGTTCCCATCCTCTGAGGGTCCTGGACTCACCCTGGCTCACCTGGGTGATGTGTTAACCGGGACTGACGTCCCTGTCCAGTGGAAGGAGCTAACCCCCTAGCAGGGAAGACAGCATGGTTCCAGGATCCCAACCCTTCCCTTAAGGCTGCCCTTGGACTTGGGCCCTGCTGAGTGTCCAGGAGCCCATCTGAATACCCATCAGGAGGGTGGCCACGTCTTCTCTTCTCTTGTGAGCCTAGCTCGTGTGGCTTCCAGTCAAGCCTGTTCCATGCCCGTGTCTAGAATTCCACGACTGGGAGCCACCGCAGCCGGACAGCACAGCGCCCTGATGCTGAGACGCACCAGTGTTTTCATCAGTGGGTCTGTGAGACACTGAGGTGTGGCAGGGGTGCCTGACCAAGCACAGGGTCTCTGGCACAGGCAGGCCTGGCTCAGAGCTCCGTGTCCCCAACCACTAGTGAGGTGCCAGCAGTGTCCTCTCCAAGCCTTAGTCTCCTCATCTGTAAAGCGTGGTGTTGTGAGCAGCTGGACAGTGTCTGACACATTGCCGTAGGCCTTCCCCTGGCCCTGCCTGGCAGGCAGCATTCCTGGGCTCCTCGCCCAGCATCTGGAGCCGGCTGGCCCTCGGGTCCTCATGCTTCCTCCTAAAACCTCGGCCTCAGCCGAACTCTGAGGGGGAAGGCACGGGGTTCAGGGTTGCTGCCTGGTGAGGCTGTGGGGCGCACTGGCCTTGTGCCCACTGGGAAGGATCCACACACTTTAACAAAGAGGCAGCCAGAGGGAAGGCTGAGGAGCTGAGCCAAAGGAAAGCATCGTAATGGTGCTTCACGCTTAATTAATTCTGACCCAGGGGCCCGATCTTGCCGAGTAAATTAGAAAACGCTGTAATTACTGCAGAACTAGGAACTGCCGGGGTTGGAAGCAGAGTTCCGACAGTGAAGATGGATGACAACCAGGATAGACAGCCCACCGCGCTGCTCAGGTGACTGGCAGTCTCGTCTTTAGGCGGGAGTTCCAGAAGCCACGTGCTCTGCAGTGGTGCTCTGTAACGGAACCGTTCCGCTTTTTATTTTGACTGTTTACCCAGCACTTTCATTCTGAAATAACACAGCCTGTGGCACCATAATCAAAATGGCTGTTACCCAGATTTAAGTTGGATTTTATTGGCAAGTGTGATTTTTCTTTTTATCTTGCCTTTTCTTTTTCTTTTAATTTTGAAAGGGTGACAGCTTCACAGGAAGTCACAAAAAAGTGCACAGGGAATAATGATTAGCAAATTGTGTGCTCTCCTACTTATACTTAAAGACTAAAAGTAATGAGGAGGCCCATGTTCCTTCCCCATTCCCCCATGGTACATGCTGTGTACCTGGGGGAGATCACAGCCAGGACACTGACATGCCCACAATGCAGACCTCACTAAGATCTCACCAGTTCCACATGTCCGCATGTGTACCAGTGTGTGCGTGTGCATGTGTGCACAAGTGCATGTGGATATTCTGTGCAGCTTATCACATGTGTGTGCTTGTGTGTGCACATGTGTATCCTGTGCAGCTTACCACATGTGTAAATTTGTGTAATCACCACCACAATTAATATCCAAAACTGCTCTGCCAGCACAAATCTTATAAACAAACATGGGTGTGTGTTCATTGTACAGGTGTGTGGAATATTTTCACTGTTTCAGAACTGATGCCCTCTGCATGCCCGTGGACAAGTCCCTTGTCCTTCTGAGCCTGGTCCTTACCGTGTATGAGATGGGATACTGACCCTCACTGGGCCAGTCTCCTCGGAATTTGTGAATTATGAACGGCAAATGCATTATCGTCATAACTCTGAAGAGAGGGAAGAAGGACAGTGCTTATTGGTTGCTCGCTAAGTTCCAGGCAAGGAGCTGAGCACTTTGCTTAGGGTAGTTAGTTCTTAGAGTGCCCACGCATGAAGTGGTCGCACCACCACGGAAGCAGCGCTCCCCAGATTCAAACTGGCCTTGCAAGGTGTGAGTGCGACCTTTTCCCTGCAGCCACAGTTTCGTTTTGAAATGTCACATGTACGGTCTTTAGAGGGGCAGAGGATGGCATATATTTCCTTGAATCCATCTGTTGTATAATTCATAGTAAAATACATGTGTCCAACCCCGGTTGGTGTGGTTCAGGGGTTGAGAGTCAACCTATGAACCAGGAGGACACGGTTTGATTCCCAATCAGGGCACATGCCCGGGTTGCAGCCAGTTTCTGTCTCTCCCTCCTTCTTCCTTCCTCTCTGAAATCAATAAAAATATATTTTAAAAAATTTATAATAATAAGAGCGTAATATGCAAAGTGACCAAATGGCTAAACAGCAGAATGACCGTCCGGACGATCTTCTGGACAACCTTCCTCAAAGCCGGGGCTGTGAGGGCTGAGGCAGCCGGGGCTGTGAAGGCCTACTCTTGAATGAATTTCATGCATTGGGCCTCTAGTCCTATATAATAAAGAGCTAATATGCAAATGGTCATCACGCCCTCATGCCATAATGCCATCATGCCATCAGCCGTAACGGCTCAGACACTCAACACTGGGGAGAGAGGAATGGGGACCAGCCAGGCACAGATTGGGATAAGCCGCCCTCCCTGTGGTCCCGGGTGCCAGTGGCTGGGGCTGCGGCCCAGGAGAGGGACAAGTCACCCGCCTCACGGTCCCAGATGCCAGCGGCTGGGGCTGCAGCTTGGGAGAGGGACAAATCGCCTGCCCCGTGGTCCCAGGCGCCTGCAGCTGCGGCCTGGGTGAATGACTTTATTAAAAAGAATTAGTCACTTTTTTAAAAAATATTTTTTTATTAATTTCAGAGAGGATGGAAGAGGGAGAGAGAGATAGAAACATCAATGATGAGAGAGAATCATTGATCAGCTGCCTCCTGCACGCTCCCCACTGGGGACCGAGCCCGCAACCCGGGCATGTGCCCTTGACCGGAATCGAACCTGGGACCCTTTGGTCCGCAGGTCAACGCTCTACCCACTGAGCCAAACTGGCTAGGGCGAATTAGTCACTTCTGTTCCTTCCCTGACCCTTTGTGGGTAACAGAACGAGGCGACTGGCAGGAATGGCCTTGTCTGTGGTCTGTGCTGCACAGCCTGTCACAGCTGCCAAAACGTCCGCTGGAACCTGGAAGGCTCCCTTTTCCCCCTGCTTCGCGTTCTTCTACCAGGAGGGCGGTCATCCCCCACGCATCCATCTGAGCCGGCCCCCCGCGGAGCAGCAAGTGAGTCCTCCCCGGGCTCTTTCAGGGACGCCCAGCAGCCACTGGCTCTGCTTTGTGCTGTTTTATTTTAGTGAACTGTTATGAAAGTAGATATGCAGAAAAGAGCTCAGCTGAGCCATCCCAGCAAACCCCAGCAGCCACATCCAGATCGTCTCTGTGAATTTGACTCGTGTCAGACGATCCTACTTGAAGGATTTCCCAAACAATCCGCGTCCGCAGCTGTCCACACACCAGGACCCAGCTCAGATCTTTCTAAGGGTTTTACGGAATTGCATGAAGGAAAGGGCAAGGCCAGGCTCCTTCCTCCCCCCCTCACCTTGACGTGTGTAGCCGAGCAGGTTAACGCTCAGACTGGCATCTGCGCCCAGGGCTCTGTGAGACCAGACACCAGCTGTGCAGAGGCTGCGCCCCGAAAACCCGCACTTCCTCCCTGCGCTGAGGTGTGAGGTGTGGCCCTCAGCCCCTCTGGGCGTCGGCAGCTGTGGCTGGGTTGTTTGTGCTGGAGGTGGTGTGATGCCCACGCTGTGTGAGGTGTGGCTGAACCGTCAGTGACCCTGGGTAACAACAGATGTGAACTTCTGAACTGCAGCTCTACGAGTTACCTTCTGGGGGGAAAGTCCTTTCAGTCGTGGACAGTGCTTGTGTTGTTTTGTTTTACCTCCTACCACCCTCTCCCAAATCCCCACAAAGAGGTGACAACACGGATTAGCTGACAGTGTCTGCCACCTGGGTAAGGAAGTGTGTGCCCTCGAGAGGAAACGTGCGCAGCCACGGGGTCTGCTGGTGTGGACTTGCCGGCCTCTTCTGGGAAAAACAGGAAACAGGACAGTGAGCCCGGGCGTCAGCAGCGGGGCTCCTTCTCACCCCAGACACCGTCTTTCACTTCATAGAAGCCCATTGAGAATGAATTAGGGAAATGTCGGTCTGAATGGCCATGGCCCCTGACAGAGTTGGCGCCCAGTGCATTTGGGAAGGCGCTGAGGAACCAGATGTCACAGGTGACTGCTGTGGATACATTCTCACTCCGCTGTATCACACGCTCTTGTCCTGGGTTTGGTTTAGAGGGCAGGCTGGGGGTTGCTGTAAGCCTCAGTGTTCTCAGTGCCCGCTTGATGGACTGTGCTGAGATTATGGGATGATTTGAAAGCTCTAAACCCTGGCGGTGCAGAGTGAAAGGGAGCCACAGAAGATCAGCTTTGTCAGCACCACTGCTGTCACTCTCGGCCTTTGTCCAGCCCCGGCAGAGCTGGCGTGGTGCTGAGGCCCCCTCCTCAGTCGCTGGCCATGAGGACGTATGCATGTCTAAGGAGGTCAGCCAGGGGGGCTGGGCCCAGACCTGTGCTCACATGGATGGGATGCTAATGGTCTGGTCCTGTGTCCAGGACTTATGGCTGGGCATCCTGGCTGACCATCAATCCTGCCCTCCCTGTGGCCATTCTGTCCTGCAGGTGAGAAAAAGGCCCGAAAGGACAGTACCAGGCCCTGCCCACAGCTGGGCAGTGGTGTGGGCGTATTTGCTGCCATGTGTGTCCAGGCCGAGGTCTGGGCTTCTTGGTGCCTGTCTCCCTCGCGGTCAGCAGAGCTGGGAGCCCAGTGTGCCTGATGGGTTGGAACCTTAACCCTCTGGGGGAGTCACATCCACCTGGTCCCTGAGATCTGAGTGAGGCTGGTGGGAGTATGGTGGACGCCACATGGGTCAGACCTCACCACCATTTGCGAACAGACACTCTGCACCTCTCCACTTTGCGAGGCTGCTCCCCATGACCCTCTATCCTTGTGCCTTTCAGGGCAAGGTCCACCTGGAGCTGAGGCTGAGTGAAGTCATCACCGACACGGGCGTCGTCTGCCACAAGTTGGCCACGCGGTAAGGCACGGGCCCGCCCAGGAATACTAACTCTGACCCCCGGCAGTGGGGCGAGTGTTGTTTTTCAGACAAATGAATCAGAATTCCCTGACTTGGTGAGTCCCCAAGGTGACGTCATTTGTAGAGGTTCCAATGCACTAGGGAGTATTTACTTCAATGTACCCAATAAAGCAAATGCTCATCCTAGAGGTACCTATCCGTTATTGTGTGCGACGTTTAGGCAAAGAGGTTGGTGTCGCATATGTTGTTACACACGAGGGAGCGGATTCCACTCTCTGGCCCACCAGCAGGGTCTAGAGCAGTGATGCGAACCCTTTGAGCTCGGCGTGTCAGCATTTTGAAAAACCCTAACTTAACTCTGGTGCCGTGTCACATATAGAAATTTTTTGATATTTGCAACCATAGTAAAACAAAGATTTATATTTTTGATATTTATTTTATATATTTAAATGCCATTTAACAAAGAAAAATCAACCAAAAAAAATGAGTTTGTGTGTCACCTCTGACACGCGTGTCATAGGTTCGCCATCACTGGTCTAGAGGAAGGTGGTGAGGAGTGTCCCCCACTGCTGACTGTCCAAGAGGGCCCTGTTCTGGCTGCCCAACCCACACTCATCCGGTGTTCAGACACAGTGTAGCACATGGTGAAGGACATGATGTAGGGACACAGTGTAGCACGTGGTGTAGGAACACATATAGGACACGGCAGAGGACAGGGTATAAGACATGTATAGGACGGGTAGAAGGCGAGAACTCCCTGTTATCTGAAACTTGGGCCTGGCACATTGTAGGTGCTCAGCAAACACCTGGGCCCTGGGCGTGTTCCCGCTCATTTCATAGGCCCATCCGATACATGGGAGATGAGTTCAGCGAGTTTTATCCTTAACGCTCTCATTATTTCCATTCTTAAAGAATAGTTGCTGTGCTCTCAGAATTTGTAGCCGTGAAGACAGAGTTGCCTATTTTCTTTATTTATCTATCGGTTTATTCCTTGTTCAAGGCTGCTCAACACAAGCCTCACATGGAACCGGGGGAGTGGGGAGAGACAGAATGGACCAGTCTGGGCAGATGTGGGCCTGGAGCCCTGTCCTGAGAGCGGCCCCACCTGGGCCCCACGACTCCGAGATGCAGGGATTTAAGTGTCTGCTCCCCGCAGAGTCCACGGGTGACGCACCAGAACTGCAGCCATCCGTCTCTGCGTCTTATCAGGGTGCACGTTAGGCTGCGGTTTCCAGGAACACAAGTGTCTAAAGTCAGGACGGTCTGTCAGCAGCAGCAGCCGCCCGCGCGTGGGTGTGCAGCTACTTCCAGACGCCCACTGCTGGCACAGGAAACCCCAGAGCTGAGGACTTGGAGTTGTTTTGAAACACAGGAGCGTGCTGTGCACATGGCCCCTGTTTTTGGTTTTGCTTTTTTTAAGGAGCTTTGGTCTAGAGAAGATGCAAGGGTGGGATTCGGGAAGGTTCTGTGCATCCTGGTGTTTCTGGGAGGAAAGGCCTCCAGCCACTCAGACAGATCTGGAACTGTGGGCCTCAGGCCGCACGGGCTGTCTTGGGTCCTTGCAGACACTGCTAACTGGAGCGTGCCTTGTTAGGACTGGAGCCCGGCCAACACGTTTTCTAACTGGGTTCCAATTCATGCAAAGAAATGAACTGTGTTTGCTCTGAAAGTGCTTTCTTAAATCTGTGTATCAACGTAGCTCTGTTGACAGTTTTCCTGCTCAAATGTCTGTTTGAATGTCAGGAGGGTGCTCACCACCTGCCTCACCAAGTTCTGGGTTCTGTCTGCCAGTGATCAACTGTACCTGTTTTTGTTAGTGCTGAGGTGGGCGTTTGATTCCCTCCCCGTGTGCACAGGAGGGACAGGAACTAACGTCAGTGGGTCAGGGCCTCTCTGCCCACGCTGCCCCAGCCACGGCCTCCTGTAGGTTCTCAGGCACTCAACCACCCTGCCTCGGCCTTTGCTTCTGTGACCCTCTGCTTGGAGCACCCCTCCTCCAAATCCCCCTTAATTCAGGTCTCTACTCAGATGTCCCAAGAAGCCGCCCCCTTCTGGAGAGAGCACAGCCAGGCCTCTGTGTCCTGCCCCATGACCCTCAGCACTACAGCGTACGTGTGGCTGATGACGGCTGTATTTTGTGCACTTCCCTTAGAATGTGAATTTCCTTGTTCATTGCCGTATCCCCGACACGTGGGGCAGGGCCTGGCACATTGTAGGTGCTCAGCAAACCCCTGGGCCATTTTATAGGCCCATCCTGTCTAGCAGAGCAGGAAAGAGCCCCAGAGAGGAAACAAGATGAGGCTTCCTCTCCTTGCTGACTTTCCTGGGAATGCTGAGCAGCACTTGGGCCTCTTTCCCATGTGGGAATTGGGCCTGTCACACTCATTAGCACATGCACTAGCACACACTAATGTACACAACTAGTATGCTTACGGTACACGCTAGCACACAATAGTACACATGCTGGTACACACTAGCACACATGCAAGTGCACATGCCAGCATGTGTATAGTGGTATGCATGTATATACATGCTAGTACACACTAGCACACATATACACATTCACATTCACACACATGCTAGTACACAATGCGAGTGCATGTGCCAGTACACTGGCATACCTACTAGTATGTACTCATACTAGTACACACTATCACACACAAGTATATTCACACTCACACACATGCTATTACACAGTAGTATACTTGTGTACTCGCACTAGTACACTTTGTTCAGAGTCCTGGGGCAGAGGGTCCACCAAAGGGGTGTAACGAGGGGGAAAGAGTGGGGAGTCCCACAGGGGCTCATGTTCTCTAATCAAGGAAACCAGAAGTTTGTGAGGGACCAGTGGCTTTTCTTTCCTCACCTCACCTCCTCCTGTAGCTTTTTTTTTAACTAAAAAAATATACATACTATGAAATTCAGTATTTTAAAGTGCATAAGTATAGTACATTCCCAAGGTGATAAACCCATCACCACTCGCTAACCTCATCTCTGTGAGCGGTCATACCCAGCCCCTCTGCCAGTCCCTGCACCACTTAACCGACTTCCTGCCTGTGGGCTTGCCTATTCAGGACGGTTAGTTTAAATGGAACCATACAACATGTGGTCCTTTGTGATGGCTTCTTCCACTTAGCATAACGTTTTCAAGATTTATCCAGGTTGTAGCATGCGTCAGTACCTCATTCCTTTAAAGGATGAATAATATTCCACTATGGATATACCGCATTTTCTTTATCACCCATTGGTAGACATTTGGCTATTGTGAATAATGCTGCTAAGAACATTCTTGTATGAGTTTTTGTACAAATTTATGTTTTTATTTCTCTTGGGTGTATACCTAAGAGTAGAATTTCTAGGTCATACTGTAACTCTATGTTTAACTTTTTGAGAAACTGCCAGACTGTTTGTCATAGTGGCTGCCTTATTTTACACCCACCAGCTGAATGTGAGGGCTCTCATTTCTCCACTTCCTTGCTAACACTGTTATTATTGGCTGACATTTTTATTGCAGCCAGCCTAGTGGGTGTAAAGTAGTTTTGATTTACATTTTCTCAAATGTAATGACTGGTGATATTGACTTTCTTGTCTTTGTTGGCCATTTATGTATTTTCTCTGAAGAAATGTCTATGCAAGTCCTTTACTTATTTTTTAATTTGGTTATTAGTATTTTTATTATTAAGTTGTAAGGGTTTCTCATATATTCTAGATACCAGACTTTTGTCAAATATATAATTTGCAAATATATTCAGTTATTCTGTTGGTTGTCTTCACTTTCTTGATAGTATTCTTTGTAATACAAAAGTTTTAAATTTTGATGAAATCCAATTTATTTACTTTTTCTTTGGTTGCCTGTGGTTTTGGTACCTATTTAAGATATCATTTCCTAACCCAAGATCATAGAAATTTACACTTATGTTTTCCTTCTAAGATTTTTATATTTTTGGGTCTTCGATACATTTGGAGTTAATTTTTTATATATGGTGTGAGGTAGGGGTTAGCATTGTTATTGTTGTTATTATTTTGCATTTGAATATCCAGTTGTCCCAGCATCATTAGTTGAAAAGACCATTCTGTCCCATCAAATTATCTTGGCATTTTGTTGAAAATCACTGGCTATAAATGTGTGAGCTTACATGTGGAATCTGTTCTATTTCATTGACCTATATCCCTGTGCTAGCACCATGCAGTGAGTCTTCCAACTTGGTCCTTCTTTTCCTGATTCTTTGGCTATTCTGAGTTTCTTTTATTTCCACGTGAACTTTAGGATCAGCATTTTAATTTCTGCAAAAATAGCAGCTGGCATTTGATAGGGATTGCATTGAATTGTCCAACCTCTGAACATAATTTCTTTCCATTTAGCTAGGTTTTCTGTAATTTCTTTAAAACTTTTGTCATCAGTAATATCCCCTCTTTTATTACTGATTTCTGAGTCTCCTCTTTTTCTTGGTCAATCTAGCTAAAGATTTGTCAAGTTTGTTGATCTTTTCAAATACCCCATTTTTGGTTTTGTTGATTTTTCTCTCTTGTTTTTCTATTCTCTATTTCATGATCTCTGCTCTAATCTTGGTTATTTCCTTTTTCTGCCCTTTGTTGGGTATAGTTTGTCCTTCATCTGGTTTCTTAAGGTGGAAGTTTAGGTTGTCAATTTGAGATCTTTCTCTTTTAATGTGGGTGTTTTTAACTACAAAATTTCTCAGTAACACCACTGTAGTTTTTATATTTTGTAATTTTCTTTCTTAGGGTTTTCTAAGTCTGTTCTACATGCCTGAGATTTTCCACAAACAGCTCTGAATCAGGACGGAACAGGAAGCAATGGGCACACACACCTGTAGTCAGGTACAAAAGGCTTTGGACTCAAAATCCTAGTGTCCCAGGTTAGCAGAATCTTCCCTAACTGTGTAACACTGGACACACTGCCTACACTCTGCACGTCATCCTCCTTGCGTAGAATGAGAGTGAAAGCATCTACGCTGGCATTTCTTAAGGATGTGGGTGCC